ATGGTATTAAATCACGTGCTATATATATATATATATATATATATATATATATATATATATATATATAAGAAAAATGGGTATGCTTAGTACGAATCACAAATTTTGTGTTTGGTAGTGAGCTAGGTGCCATATTCCCATCCACTCATTCTAATTCTCAATCACTCTCCAACCCATGTGAATGTGGGCTCTGATTTTAATGAGTGAAGGGGAATATGTCACCTCACTGGAAGCATAAAAACTTGTGCTTGATATCAAGCGTACCCATTTTATGATTATTTTGCCTAATCTTGATAGGAGTTTTTTTTGCCTAATCTTGATAGGGGTTTTTTGAAAAACACTACAGACACACCCTTGGGCACACTCTCAGCCACACCCCTTTCCTGCTACAGTGCAGGGGTCCCACCTGAGAGTTTTTTAAAAAATCTCAGGTGGGCCCCCTGCATTGTAGCAGGAGAGGGGGTGTGGCTGAGAGTGTGCCTGAGGGTATGCCTATAGTGCCACTCTAGTTTTTTTTTGGAACATTAGCAAATAATGTTCGTAAAACTTTAAGATATGGGCCGAACGTGAGTCTGATAGGTGCCTTAAAATTTAATGATAGGATTACGCTTTACTAAGAAAATAACCTTTAATGGTCTTTGTTTTATAGAATTCAGCAAGGAAAATTTATGTGGTTACTTTAGTCTTTCAAAATACCTAAACGATCAATGCGCATGAAAATGTCTGTCAGAAGCTTTTAAAGAAAAGAGTAATCGTCAACGGCCGAGCACATTATTGTGTAACATGCTACAAGTTAGCTGGCATTTTTGTCATTGCTCACAAATTGCATATTACCTAAATAAACTAGCTTGTTTTATTTGGACCAATACGGCAATACGTCAGTGGTCCTTATCTTTTCCTTTAATTAAAAAAAATAAAAACTACTTTTTGTGATTATTGAATATCTATTTTTCTTCACAATCTGCAAATTATTTGAAGAAACTGCTTTTTGAGGCTTTTTTTGCACATATGCCCCCGAATGAGTCTACCTAACAACTATTTGAAAAAAGTGGGTCCTCCTTACAACTCTCTGAAACATTAGGAATAGTCTCTCATAAAATACGCATCCTATCAAATCCGTCGATATGCGAGCGAACGGTTCTCTGCCACACAACAGGCAATAAAGATATTGCCCACTGTTTTTAAACCTAAAGGGTAGAAATTCGGCTGCATGCATGCAATAATGTTCACTCTCCCTCACTCACATTCGGAGTACTTAGCTAAGAAATAACAAAATGGATAATTGTAAGGATTACCATTCAAGTTCAAAAAAAAAAAAAGGCTAATTGTCCATGGTACATAGGTGAATCTGAAATTAAAATTTCTATTTATTTTTTAAGTAAAACAATGTTGTATTGTGCCCTCCGTATTAGCGTAATCATAGGGTCAAACTGATAGCATTGATTTAGGATCTGATAGCATTGACTTTTCTTATTTATAATTATTATTAATCAGAGGATTGTAATTAGCATTGATTTAGGATCTGATGTAATCCCTTGTACTCTATTTATACGCTCCTATTGTAAATGAGAAAATTAATAATTCATTCAATCTCCTTCATTATATGGTATCAGAGACTTAGGTTACATTCTTTTTTCCGATCCTGCCTCACGCACACAACAGCCCTATCACCTCCGACTTTATGGCCAACAACACTAGCACCACCACCGGTCTCACCGGCCAACTCCTTGTCGCTGCCAACTCCTCATCCCGGCTTAACTTCCAGATTCAATCAATCAATGTCAAGCTCGATCGGACGAACTTCTCTTTATGGTGCAATACTGTTCTCCCGGCGCTTCAAGCCTTTGAGTTGGAGGCTTACATCATGACTGATGACTCCTCTCCTCAATACAAACCTCAAGCCGTCGACGTTACAACTCCTCCCGAGTCGAATCCAGAGCAAATCACTTGGCGTCATTGTGACCGCTTTGTACTCCTCTGGCTTCGCTCAACTCTTTCTGAGCGTGCACTTGCCACCATCGTTCGCACTACCACCGCCCGTCAAGCCTGGACTACCATCGATCGAACGTTTCAGGATCAGTCTCCGGTCCGTCGAATGGCTCTCAAAAACCAACTTCAATCTCTCTCGAAGGGCTCTTTATCCATCATGGAGTACTTTGAAAAGAAATGTGCAATTGCACATGCACTTGATGAGAATCTTCAACCTATCTCAAATGAAGATCTCACTGGCTATATATTGAACGAACTTGATAGTTTGTATGGCCCCTTTATTACCTCCTTCATGATGCGACCTGAAGAGACTAATGTTGATGATTTGCTTGGTCTGCTGCTGCAAGAAGAAGAAAGGATTGAGTAGGAGAATCGACGTTATCAGCCACCATCTGATTCGCTATCGCCTCCAACTACTAGCTCGGTCATTGCTCCATCGGCCAACGCAACCTACACCAATTCGCATGGCGGATCTTCCTCCCGCTACAACCGTGGACGCTCCTCTGCTCCACCTTCCTCTGGTGTTTCGGAGGGTAGTCGTGGCCCATATTGTACTACACGCAGGCGCATTCAATGTTAAATATGTAACAAGATGGGACACATGATGATTAATTACTACAATCGCAACAACCACACCGATTTTCCTGCACGTCCGCCACCTCCAAGAAACAACCATCGCTCATCTGACCGTCAGGCTGAGCACTCTGCACACTATGCTTCCCCGTCCTCTCTTACGGACCCCGCCTGGTACTTTGACACGGGCGCTACAGATTATGTCTCTAATGACCTCAACTCACTGACTATTTCAGACGAGTATCACGGGGATGACAAACTCTCTGTTGGTAACAGTAATCAATTTCTTATTTCTCATTTTGGCTCTACTATTTTGCTTACAAAGTCTATGTATGTCAATGTAAAGAATATTCTTATTGTGCCTGATCTCACCAAAAACCTACTCAGCGCCTCAAAACTAAATCGCGATAACAACACCTACAGGATTTTGTATCCTGATCATTGTGTTGTCAAGAATTTGCAGGGCAACACGATCCTCCACGGAACCGTTGATCACGGCCTCTACCACCTCCATCAGCCACGACCACACCAACCTCCATCCTCCATCCACTTCGGGTCCCGCATCTCCCTACTTGGTGGGCATCATCGTCTGGATCATCCTCATGAACACATCCTTCTTCGTCTAGTGTCTCAGTTTCAACTTCCTGTCAGCTCCAATAAATTTCCTAGTGTCTGTGATGCTCGTCAGTTAGGTAAGAGTCATCGTTTTCATCTTCCTAGTTCTCATGTTAGGTCTGATAAACCATTTGAATTAATCTACTCTGATGTTTGGGGTCCTGCTCCTGTGTTATCCTTAAATGGAAATCGGTATTTTGTGCTTTTCATTAATGATGCTACCAAATTTATATGGATCTACTTTCTAAATCACAAATCTTAAGTGTTCAATGTTTTCCAACAGTTTCGGGCAATGGTTCAAACACAATTTGGGTCCTCTATCAAATGTCTTCAAACTGATTGGGGTGGTGAATTTCGAAATGTGTCAAGTTTCTTGTCTACTCATGGTATCCAATATAGAGTCTCTTGTCCTTACACACAGGAACATAATGGGGCTGCAGAGCGTAGAAATCGAATTATTGTAAAAAAGGGTTAACTCTCCTAGCTCAATCATTATCTCCATTCATCCTTTGGGAACATGCCTTTCATACCGCCACTTATCTCCACAACCGAACCATCTCGTCTACTCTTAACTACACCTCTCCGTACCAAAAACTTTACTCTAAAATCCCTGACTACGACTTCATCAAAACCTTTGATTGTCTATGTTACCCTTTCCTGCGTCCCTACAACCACCACAAAATGGACTTTCGGTCTCTTCCATGTGTCTTTATTGGGTTCAGTTCCAAACACATAGGGTACCTCTGTCTCCACATTCCTACCTCCAGAACTTACATTGTTTGTCATGTCGTGTTCGATGAAGACGTATATCCATATGTCAATCAAGCCAGGGCGCTATCACCACCACCACCCTCCTCCGAATCCTCCCTCGCACCACTTGATCTACTTGAGCTCGCCGTGGCTGCACCTTCCCCATCACCTCCTCTAAACCATGATAGTGACCTATGTCCTACCACGACACTTGGCTCCCCGGTCCCGACCCGACCCGACCCATATAAAATTTGACCCGTATAAGCATGACCCGACCCGACCCATTTAATAAATGGGTCAATACGATCCGACCCATTTATTAAACGGGTTACCTGACCCGACCCATATATAACCCAAATGGTAGAGAAAACTAAACATTTAGTGTGGTTGTAGTAGAAACCTGCATATTCTATTATACTCTTTTAAGTGACTTATGCACACAAAAACCAGGTTACTATTTCTGATATGTTTATAAAGGCTCACTGCAAATTTCCACATTTAGAGATAAACAAAATAATAAACAAACCATCATCAAAAAATGAAACAGAAACAAAACCAATCATAGATATTGTACTCTTTTAAGTGAAATTATTTCAAAATATTGAATGGCTACAATGTCATTCTACATACATACGCATCAAAAAAAATTGGAGCAAGATTACTCCCATTAGAATGTTAAACTGGTTCACAAACAAGTTCATTTCAAGCTCTCTACAACAAATCCAATTTCACAAACAGGTTCATTTCAAGCTCTCTGCATATTCTATTGCTTTCTTCTTGACCTGCACGTTACAAAAGTTTTAGTGGTACGTGAAGCTGAATGAACTTTAAAAACATGGAAAAATCTTCTAAGAGCCCAAGGAATAATATTAGCAAAGACATTAGGAAC